AAATATCCCTCCAGCCCTTGTCCAGCCCATTTTTGGGGTTTTGTGTGACATTATGTCATATTTGCTTTTCTGCCTCTGTTTTATATTTGTTCCAATACATACAAAGGGAATAAACATGTGTATAGCAAAACATGTGTTAATGCAATACCTTTTTTGTGTGAAATACTTGATTTTCAGGAAAAATATCAAGGGTGCCAACAATTTCGGCCATGACTGTATATACATACAAAAAACATCACAGGAGAGAGAGAGCACATCGATGGTGAGATCTGCATGGTTACAAACATAATAATGACATATAGTTACATTGAGGAGGCCGTCAAAACTAAACATCTGTAGAAAGGCGGGAGGAGGAGAAATTGTCCCATGGGTGCCACACTGCCTCGAACACAGCAATCGAACAGGCATGTATAGCAGTCAGGTACTCCATCTGTCGCACATCAGCAATAATTTTAAACAGCATTGACATCGAAGGAGGTATAGAAGATAGCCAACACATAGGAATGCTTCTTCTGGCCGCAGTCAGAATATGTGTGGGGAGTTTCCTAGCCATTCTGGGAAGACCTGGAAATGGCAGGCTCAGTAAAAAGTACAGAGGCTCAAAAGGGAGAGAGGTCTGCAATAACAATTGTAAAAAAAGACAAAAACCTCTTCCCAAAAAGGGACAATAGAACCACAAGTCCAAAAAATATGGAAGAGGGAACCAATGTCTTTCCCACAACGCCAGCAAGCAGAAGAAGCACTCTGAATTAAAGGTATGGACAACCTCGGTTCCTTGGCTTTTTAAAATATCACTCTAGACTCTTATATACTGAGTTCTGCTTCTTTTCCTTATCCTATATATATATATATGAATTCTGACTTGCAAATTCTTAATAAGTATTCTAATATTGATTAGATCAGCTATTGATTATTTTCACGGTTGTATCTGTTTGAAGCCCTGAAGCTGAAGAAGGTCCCACACAACCTTGAAACAAATAGGTTTCCTTGGTGATGTTAAATAAAATATATCTCTACGGTTTCTTATATGTTGAGTGCTGCTTCTATTCCTTATCTTATATATACTGTATATGGATTCATTCTTACTTGCAACGTCATAAGAAGTATTCTGATATTGATTAGATCAGATATTGATTATATTCATGGTTTTATATGATTGAAACCCTGAGGAAGGTCCCACACAACCCTGAAACATGGAAAATTTCCTTGGCAGTTTTTAAATAAAATATCGCTGTAGACTCTTATACGATAAGTTCTCTTCTGTTGTTTGTCCTATAGTTTTTCTTTCCCAAGGACCACTCACAGAAGTTCTATGGCAAATCTGTAAAGGAACTAAAGATTATTCATTATTTTAGCTGTGCAGACTTTACTGAGCTTTCCCTTTAAAATAATTATGTATACATGTTAATTCTTATTTGCATATTCTTAATAAGTATTCTAATATTCATTAGGCATTTATTATATAGACAGTTTGATATATTTATAGCCCTGAAGAAAGACTCCAACAACCCCCAAAAATATCCTATAGTCATTTTTTGGTTTGAGCCCTATTCCCAGCTAAAACTATTTTTTACCCCATCCATCCCTCCCTCCCACCCCTCTCTTACCCACCCTACATGACATTGTTTTCCCCTTGCCTTTTGAAGCCAGATATACTCATCTAAGTCTCCCCAGGTCCCTCACCAACACCAGTTCTGGGTTCCAAGGACCACCAATCCAGCAGTATGAATGGAGCCCACCAACAGTGGTTTCCTACTGTCCTGTGATAACATCATCATCATCTTCTGGATACTGAGAGAACCCCACCATACGACATCCAATTGGAAGTGTCTACATCATGCAGGCAAAGCAGAGAATACTTTGGGTTAAGGTGTCACCTGATCCTGGCCTAAGGTAAGTAAAAAAAAAAAGCATTTTTTTAATCCAGTGCTCACATAATGAGGGTGGAGGGCTGCAGTGGAGCTTTAAGGGCCACTCATCGTAATCTAAAGGCAAACACAGCTTCCAGTTGACCAGTAGCCTATAATATCTGATGGTGCAGTAAAAAAAAAAAAAAAATCAGGGGGCCTGATGTCACCACTGTGTGTGAGTCACTAACAGTCTGTTACACAGTGTCATGACCTGGGAAACATTAGTATGTATTGGGGTGATTAAACCGAACCTGTGCCCCCTTATAGCAGATCATTAGAGTCCCTCTTTACACCAGGGTCCCCATCAGAGTCCCCCCTTAAACCAGGTGTCCCTATTAGAGTGCCCCCTACATCATAGACCCATCAGAGTCCCCCATTAAATCAGGGTCCCTGTACACCAGAGTCTATCCTAGGAGTCCCCCTTCACATCTAGGCCCCCATCTGAGCCCCACTTACTTCCAGTTCCTCATCAGAGTCATCCTTCACATCAGGTTCCTATCAGAGTCCCCCTTACATCAGATGTCTCCTTCAGCATTCTCCCTTAAATCAGGGTCCTCATTAGAGTCCCCCTTTATATCAGGTTTCCATTAGAGTGCCCCCTTACATCAGATGTCCTCATCAGAGTGCACCCTTATATCAGGATCCCTATCAGAGTGCCCCCTTACATCAGATGTCCTCATCAGAGTGCCCCCTTATATCAGGATCCCTATCAGAATGCCCCCTTACATCAGGTGTCCCCATTAGGTGTGCCCCTTTACATCAGTGTCCTCATTGAGGTCCTCCCTACATAACAGACCCCATCAGAGTCCCCCATTACATCAGGATCCTTATCAGAGTCCCCTGTACATCAGAGTGTATCTTAGGAGTCTCCCTTCACATCTGGGTCCCCATCCTGAGCCCCGCTTACTTGCATGTCCCCATGAGATTCCCCCTTTACATCAGGTTTCCATCAGAGACCCCTTACAGCAGATGTCCCCATCCGAATGCCCCTTGCATTAGATTCCCCTTCAAAATGCCCCCTTACATCAGGTGCCCCATCAAGGTCCTCCCTACATCACAGGCCCCATCTGACTCCCCCATTACATCAGGGTCCCTATCAGAGTCCATCTTGGGAGTCCCCCCTCACGTCTGTGTCCCCATCCGAGCCCCCATCCTGAGCCTCCCTTACTTCTAGATCTCCACCAGAGTCCCTCTTTACATCAGGTTCCCATCAGAATACCCCTTACAATAGATATCCCTATCAGAGTGCCCCAATCAGACATCAACATGTCTATAGCGGTTCTCCTCTGAAGAAGTGCCATTGCACGAAAGGCCTCAGGAGGAACCAGACAGCACGTGACTTTACTGCCGCCGGAGCATGGAGGAAGCCCGGCGGCCATCTTTATTCAGGGTCAGCATATCATTTATACTATACCCTGTGACCTATGTTATTCTGCATTTAAATAAATTCACTTACATACTACACTATGGGCAATTGTTTTTTGGCTCCTTTATGGAGCTATTAGTTTACAGGTTACCCTGCTGTCACTATACCACCAGAGGAATAGGAGCCCTGCACTCAGGTTGAGCACCTATATCCATCCTTAAGGGGGACCTCTGGATTCAGCAGACACCTTAATCCTTCCAACTTGATGACTACACCATAGAGGAAAAGTTCACCGGATTATCCTGTCCACCTATTGATATCTTCACGGCCTACATTATATGCGCATTTTAAAAGCGCTTCCGGTGAGTGCGCACTTTTACTAATTACGGATGTCACAAGTTCATATGCTTGCTGGTTTTCACCTTTTGAAAGTTTATTTTAATTGAACTTTTTATATACAGACGTTTCGCATTTACTTACTAAGACTTTTTGGCAGATTTTTATTTCTATTGGTTTATATCATTTTGCATTATATTACCATAGCGCTACACCCATGTTCTGTCATGTCTATATCAGACTAGCTCATGGATTAGTGGATGCACTCTCAAAGACCTGGGAGGACACAACTACAATCTGGGGTGGGGGGCAGCTACCCCCCCCAGCACAGCCCTAGATCCAACCCTAGACCCCAGTACACCTTACATACATAATGGGGAATCCTGTATGCCTCATACAATAATATCCATGTTCTTGAAGAATTTTCTTGGTGACAGGTTCTCTTTAGGCCTTTATTCACCTAGAACTGCTCTTTCTCGTACGGTAATCCCCATCAAAGCCTATCCTTGTCCTCCTGTGACACCATCGTAGTGAAGCGATTCTCCAGCTTCCCCCCCAGTCCATCTTATTTTACGCAGGAGGTGATTATAATGAATGAGAACAGAACTCTGACACACAATCCGTGTACTGTCTCTCTCTCTACAATAGCGGAGCTGACACAATGGCACTTATTACTCTGCGTATAACTGAATAGAATTCCGGGAAGAACAGCCCAGCTTGGCTTGCAGAGCAACTTTTTGATGTGTTGCCTCAGGAGTCCTCACAGCCTTTCTCTGCCAGTGAAGAGTTGGATTACTCTCTGACCTCCCTCTATTGTGATCTAGTTCAGACCGCCGCCGCCACCAAAGATGGAAAGATTAGTCAGACAACTTTGCGTCGAGACAATTTTCATTTTCTATTTTTTTTTTTCCCGTAGTAATTTCTTTAAAGTAAAAAAAAAAAATGTAAAAAAAAAAAAAAGATACAGCACCGTATCTATTCAAAAACACGCGGCTTTTTATCTCAGAAAAGCTTGAAGCGGCACACGCCAACGGAACGTGGGAATAAATTAAATAATTAGACTTCTCCCCCTGATAGAAAGAGCTATTATACGGATTTGGATAACTTCAACATCTTGGAAACGTTAAGCTTTTCAATTTTTTTTTTTTGAAGCTCTGAAACAAAGGTAGAGATAGGCCACAATATTGTCGCAGCAGCAATATTTTCCCACCAAGATACAAATGGAGTCGGCGTCGCGTTTGTTTTACGGCTGGAGAAAAGGAGAAAAAAAAAACTAATTAACCTCTGAAGGGTTTTCAGAAACACACTTAAATTCGAGAGAAACTAATTAATATTTCTCGGTGTGTCCTGCTTATCGGTAAATGAAATTGGAAAGCTTGATTTATTAGGGGGAAATGTAACATGCGCAGTGCAGATGGCGTCGGTGTGTGCAGGGGTGGACTGACAACTCATGGGGCCCCCGGGCAATAGGGGATCATGGGGCCTCTGTGTCCTTGCCCAAACTCAAAAAAGCCTATGAAAAAGGTACCAGGGGCATCTCATGGGGCCCCCTACTGACCCCGGGCCCTCTGGCAGTGCCCGAGTTTCCAAATGGTCAGTCCGCCCCTGAGTATGTGTGTTATATCATGCTGTCACCCAGTACCAAGACAGGTTCGCTTAGTATGTTAGGTTCCTTAATGCATGCCGTAGAATGGGATTTTACTGCCCTGAGTTCATTCTCTGTCCCCTTGCTCTGCTGCGCCCAGGGCAGCCTCCCCTCCTGCCCACCCCTTGTGTCAGCCCTGGTGATGATTGGATTGGAAGAATCACCGATTGGCTACATTTTGATTCACCCGGATATCGGTCTGATCTATGGAGAACCATTCTACAAAATGTAAAGCTCTGGGCAAGCAGCACAGTTGAAATACAGATGTGGGAGCCGTTCTACTTAACAAATGATTTGTATTTCTCTTCCTCCAGTCTTGGGATTTTTACAGCTCTGCCAGAAACCAAAGCCCCTAAAACTTGACTTTTCTCTCCTGCACTTAAGCAATACAATTTGCTTCCTCCCCTAGCCTGTCACTGGACAAAAATGGAACAGCAGAAGACTGATTGTATCATTCCTCTGCTCTCTCCCTCCATTCCTTACCCTCTTTGCCTTTTCTGAGTTCTGTTCATGGAACAAAAGACTCACAACACTTGAAAGGCAGGCACTAGTTACACTAGATCAAATTCTTATTTTTTTTTAATGCATAATCACATTAAAGGGTACCTATACTTAAAAAATGTAAACAGAATATATAATAGAGTGCTCCCAACAATCCTATTGGGGTAAATAGTAGTATGTCTGTTTGAGCTCTCTTCAGGTATAGACTTTGAGAAGCTATAGCTGTACCGCACTTCCTATAAAAGGGTGACAACCACACTTTAGTGCAGGGCTTGAAATTTCTACTCGCCTGCTCGCCAATGGCGAGTGGAAATTATGGTGGGGGTGAGTGTGTCCCCCAGGGCCATCTTGCTGAGCAGGCTCGGAGCTCAGGCCGGATCTGTCATTGGCACTGGAAGCCGTCAGACTGCTCAATAGCTGAGCAAGGCAAGGAGTGTGTGCTGTGCTCTCTGCCTCCCCCTAGAGTGCAGTACCCGGCTCTGTGAGTGAACAACGAAGTACTGCAACTTTTTATGGGGGGATGGTGGTGTGTATGTGTGTACGTGTACATATGTGTGTGTTTGTGTGTGTGTGTGTCTGTGTATGCATGTACAATTACACATGTGTCTGCGTGTATGTACATGTATGTGTGTGTGTACATGTGTCTGTGCGTGTGTATTTCTGTGTATGTACATGCATCTGTGTGTATGCGTGTCTGTACGTTCCTGTGTGTACAGTATATACATGTGTCTGTATGTGTGTGTGTACCCATGTCTGTGTGTGTGTGTGTGTGTGTACATGTTTCTGTGTGTGTATGTACATGTCTGTGTGTGTGTACAGGTGTCTCTGTTTGTGTGTGTTTGTTGGTGGCAAGTAACTCTAAGGCCTGGCTAGTAGCTCAGGACCAGGGGCGGACTGACCATTTGGAAGCTTAGGCCCAGGGTCAGTAGGGGGCCCCATGAGATGCCCCTGGTACCTTTTTCATAGGCTTTTTTGAGTTTGGACAAGGACACAGGGGCCCCATGATCCCCTATTGCCCGGGGGGCCCCATGAGTTGTCAGTCCGCCCCTGCTCAGGACTTGAAATTTTAAGCCCTGCTTTAGTGCCTTAGAAAATGTCAGTCAGAGTTGTCACCCTGATGTCTGTTACCCTTCTCTGGACTCTAGTAGAACGGGTCAATAGCTCTTTCATTGATATACTAATTTGCATTGATTTTCCTAAATATTCCCCCGGAGTAAACATTCAAGAAAAAATGGGGTCTGTGCTGCTCATCTACTAAGTCATGGGTTTGAACAGCTCAAGAGGCACAAACAAGCATCAATGTTTGCCATCTTTTCGACTTCAAAATTGTTACTTACAGAGGTGTAATGTCCCAACATTTGTGCAATCATCATGAATAATACCACGTAATAGAAAATAAATAAAAGTTGCAGAGCTAATCAAAAAACATAAAACAACATAAAGTCCAATAAATCAAAAAAGTTCCTGTTTAAAAGTCCCAAATGCAATTCCCACAATCCACCATCACCAGGACTCCCGAATGGTTCAGCTCCTTACCAGAAATTCTGACCGAAACACACCAGTCAATATAGGCAACTCAAATGGGAGATGAATATGTGTAGATCATGGAACCAGCAATCCTCATCCAAATAGATATCAATCCTCCTCTCAAAGATCTGAAAACGGTCCTCCTTGCTGCAGTGCTGTTCCTGATTCCTTTCACATGTGTGGTTTGTCTGTGCTCACCTAACCACGTAACATGCTGTGGATGGGTGTTCCAAAGGAACCCTGGGAAAGTCCTCTTCGGGGTTTATAGATCTCCCAGGTTCCTTACCTATACCTTTAGGAATCTCTGATATGAGGTCCAGTGCAGGGGTTACCTCTCTCTCCATGGGCCTTTAAATCCACCTGGGACCTGTAGCCAGAGCTCTCTGCCTGGGGATCAGACAAGTCCTGTCTGGAGAGCTGAAAGGTTGGTGGATCTAACAAGGTGTGTCTGTTGTGGCTGACAAGCGGTAGGCTTGATCAGTCTGGCAGTTAGGACCTGCAGTACTGTGTAGTGAGAGCCAGGACATGGCTATGTTTTTTTTTTATATTTTCTTGCCCTTTTTTTTTTGGTTAAACACTGTACAGCACTTTTTATATCGTTTTGTAAATAGCACACTTTCACTGTTTGTAACCAATCTCACTGGATTTGGTATCTGTGCCTGAAAGACTGCTTACCCCAGAAAGCATATATCCCAGCTGCCTATCCCCAGCTCACAATGCTTATTTCCTATAATCTCGGCTCCCTCTAGTGGCCATAATGTGGTATTTTCCTAGTTGTGGTATTTCAAGACAAAACTATTTCATGGTCAATAGATGAAGCCAACAATCAGAGGAAATAAACATGTTAGACATATTACAGTAATTATTCACAATGACTGTGCAAATGCTCTGATATTTGTACTGGGACTTTTTTTTATAAATATACCCCATATAGATAGACCAGTTACATAGTTAGTCTGGCTGAAAAAAAAGACAAAAGTCTATCCAGTTCAACCATAGAAGAAAAGAAAGTTATAATCCCACACCCACAGTTGATCCAGAGGAAGGCAAAATGTAAAAAAAACCCAGCAAAGCATGATCCACTTTGCTCCTGCAGGAAAAAAAAATCCTTCCTGATCCCCCGAGAGGCAATTGGATATTCCCTGGATCAACTTTACCTATAAAATTGAAAAAACCTTTCCGTGTTTGGAGACTAAATCTCTTTTTCCTCCAGAATGTCCCCTGTCCTCTGTCATGACCTCAAACATTGTCATAAGTTCTCACTATATGAAACATATTACCATTATGGATGTTATGAATAGGTGACATTGGAGATCATATCCCCCCTAAGTTAAATATGTATTTAGGGTGGAATATGGAGATCATATGGTGAACCAAAAAATCCCCCCTTATGTATTATATACATGGAGATCATATCCCCCCTTATGTATTATACATGGAAGATCATATCCCCCCCTTATGTATTATACATGGAGATCATATCCCCCCTTATGTATTATATACATGGAGATCATATCCCCCCTTATGTATTATACATGGAGATCATATCCCCCCCTTATGTATTATACATGGAGATCATATCCCCCTTATGTAATTATACATGGAGGATCATATCCCCCTTATGTATTATACAATGGAGATCATATCCCCCCTTATGTATTATACATGGAGATCATATCCCCCCTTATGTATTATACATGGTGATCATATCCCCCCTTATAAGTATTATACATGGTGATCATATCCCCCACCCCCCTTATGTATTACATGGGTGATCACATATCCCCCCTTATGTATTAAACATGGAGATCATATCCCCCCTTATGTATTATACATTGGTGATCATATCCCCCCCTTATGTATTATACATGGTGATCATATCCCCCCTTATGTATTATACATGGAGATCATATCCCCCCTTATGTATTATCCTTGGATATCATATCCCCCTGGTGTATTAATACATGGAGATATATCCCCCCTTATGTATTATACAATGGAGATTCATATCCCCCCTTATGTATTATACATGAGATCATATCCCCCCCCTTATGTATTATACATGGAGATCATTATCCCCTATGTATTATATGTATCCCCCTTAATTATACATGGTGATCAAATCCCCCCTTATGTATTATACATGTTGATCAATATATCCCCCCTTATGTATTAATACATGGAGATCATATCCCCCCCTTATGTATTATACATGGTGATCATATCCCCCCTTATGTATTATACACTGGAGATCATATCCCCCCCTTATGTATTATACATGGAGATCATATCCCCCCTTATGTATTATACATGGTTGATCATATCCCCCTTATGTATTATACATTGATCGGATCATATCCCCCTTATGTATTATACATGGGAGATCATAATCCCCCCTTATGAATTATACATGGAGATCATATCCCCCCTTATAATAATATACATGGAGATTCATCATATCCCCCCTTATGTATTATTAGGAGATCATATCCCCCCTTATGTATTATACATGGAAATCATATCCCCCCTTATGTATTATACATGGAGATCATATCCCCCCTTATGTATTATACATGGAAGATCATATCCCCCCTTAAGTATTATACATGGAGATCATATCCCCACCCCCCCCCTTATGTATTATACATGGAGATCATCATATCCCCCCTTATGTATTATACATGGAGATCATATCCCCCCTTATGTATTATACATGGAGATCATATCCCCCCTTATGTATTATACATGTGATCATATCCCCCCTTAGTATTATACATGGAGATCATATCCCCCTTATGTATTATACATGGAGAACATATCCCCCCTTATGTATTATACATGGAGATCATATCCCCCTTATGTATTATACATGGAGATCATATCCCCCCTTATGTATTATACATGGTGATCATATCCCCCCTTATGTATTAATACATGGAGATCATACCCCCCTTATGTATTATACATGGAAATCATATCCCCCCTTATGTATATTACAGGAGATCATATCCCCCCCCTTATGTATTATACATGGAGATCATATCCCCCCCTTATGTATTATACATGGTGATCATATCCCCCTTATGTATTATACAATGGAAGATCATATCCCCCTTATGTATTATACATGGAGATCATATCCCCCCTTATGTATTATACATGGAGATCATATCCCCCCCTTATGTATTATACATGGAGATCATATCCCCCCTTATGTATTATACATGGAGATCATATCCCCCCTTATGTATTATACATGGAGATCATATCCCCCCTTATGTATTATACATGGTGATCACATATCCCCCCTTATGTATTATATACATGGAGATCATATCCCCCCTTATGTATTATACATGAGAATCATATCCCCCCTTATGTATTACACATAGATCATATCCCCCCTTATGTATTATACATGGTGAGAATCATATCCCCCCTTATGTATTATACATGGAGATCATATCCCCCCTTATGTATTATACATGGAAGTGATCATATCCCCCCTTATGTATTATACATGTGGAGATCATATCCCCCCTTATGTATTATACATGGAGATCATATCCCCCCTTATGTATTATACATGGTGATCATATCCCCCCTTATGTATTATACATGGTGATCATATACATATCCCCCCCTTATGTATTATACATGGAGATCATATCCCCCCTTATGTATTATACATGGAGATCATATCCCCCCTTATGTATTATACATGGAGATCATATCCCCCCTTATGTATTATACATGGAGATCATATCCCCCTTATGTATTATACATGGTGATCATAACCCCCTTATGTATTATACATGGAGATCATATCCCCCCTTATGTATTATACATGGAGATCATATCCCCCCTTATGTATTATACATGGAGATCATATCCCCCCTTATGTATTATACATGGAGATCATATCCCCCCTTATGTATTATACATGGATCATAATCCCCCCTTATGTATTATACATGGAGAGATCATATCCCCCCTTATGTATTATACATGGTGATCATATCCCCCCCTTATGTATTATACATGGAGATCATATCCCCCTTATGTATTATACATGGAGATCATATCCCCCTTATGTATTATAACATGGTGATCATATCCCCCCTTATGTATTATACATGGAGATCATATCCCCCCTTATGTATTATACATGTGATCATATCCCCCCTTATGTATTATACATGGAGATCATATCCCCCTTATGTATTATACATGGAGATCATATCCCCCCTTATGTATTATACATGGAGATCATATCCCCCTTATGTATTATACATGGAGATCATAT